GGCGTAGCACTCGCCCAGTACACTGAGGGCAGGTCGCATGATGCTGAAGTAGTGCACGATGTGTCCCAACAACCTCCTGACCTGCCAGCGGGCCAGCCACGGCCTGCGTAGAACCTCGTGTAAACCAAGGTACAGGCGCCATGCTCGCCGAGAGGTGTGGCGAAGGCGCCCGTGCCGCCCGTCGAACTCGAGACCGAGGATACCCTGAGACAAGGTGGCATGCTGCAGCTCGTGCCAGCGCAGCCCCCTCTTGTCCAGCTCGTCCGTCACGGCGCCGAGGCGCTGGTCGAGCTGGGCCGCGTCCAGGGAGATGAGGTTCGCGTTGTCGACGTAGGGCGCGTGGGCGACCCCCCCGCTCAGCAGGGAAGGCGGCTTGCCCTTGTCCAGGCACCAGGAGTCCTTCTCCCCGAAGACGGCACTCATGGTGTCGATCAGGACCTCCTGGCAGATCCACAAGGCCCAAGACCAACCCATGGGAAGGGCCTCGAAGCAGGGCCAGACCCGAGAGTCGGGGCTGATGTCGACGTAGCGGCCGAGGTCCTCGTCGCACAGCTGAGTCAACCCCAGCTCGCCAGCGGGCACCTCGATGTCGAAGCACATCCAGGGGCCCCAGGCCGGGTGGCGGAACTGGTAGAAGCCGTCCTGCAGGTCCACCGAGCCGGCCACCAGGTCGCCCCCGCTGATCACGATGTCGAGGTCGTCGGGGCCGAGGTCGGTGGCGTCCACGAGGTTGATGGCAGCGAGTGCCTCTCCTGAGGCCAGCACGGTCTTGGGCGGGAGTCGCTGCAGTTGATTAGCCTGCCGAGCGTCCAGCACCATCCTCTGATCCCCGTTCTTCTTTCGCACAAAGAACGCGGAGATGCACGACTTCCGACGGGCCCGAGCACCCACGAGCCCCCGAAGGGCCAGAGCACGAAGAAAGGCCACGAGTGCAGGGCGAGCGCCGCGCCGGCGAGGGTCGAGCTGCGGGTCCCAGTAGGGCTGCACCAGCGGCTCGTCCTCGGTGAGCTCGGAGAGCGGGCGGACGACGGCCGAGTCGAAGTTGGCCATCACATCCCTGACGCTCTGGGGGGCCACGTCGTCGAGTGGCGTTGAAAAATGTTCCTTACGTAGGATGTTGAGGCGGCTCGGATCAAAATCGACCGCGGTCGTGGACGCGTCGAGGCCGCCGTAGACGTCCCTGGTCTTGAGGAGCTCCTGTAGGGCTCCAGCGCCATCCATGTCAGCGGGCCGATCTCCGAAGGCACCAATCCGACGGCGGATGCGCCTGAGCGCCGACTCTTGAGCGATGTCGGCGCTCCCAGTCCTCTGATGGGGGCCGAAGCACGACACCCCTCCCAGCACAGGCGGCGGCCATCCCATTGAGGGTCGTGATCGTCTCGATGGCACAGGCCGAACGACGATCAGCAGCGGCAGCACGCTGCGCCTTATACCGAGGCAAAGCGGTACGTTCCCCTGGCGGCGGATGCGAGTAGAAGGCGTCCGTGACCGGAAGCGGGAACAAAGGGGGTGGCCCCCGCGAGGAGGAACCCTCGACGGGGGGGCAGCCGCGGTCCAGGGAGGAGGCCATGGCGACGCGGTGTGCCGTCGGCCGCGGCGGGGGCCGCCGCGGCCGGGGGGGGCGCGGAGGCCCCCGGCTCGCTAGCCTGCACCGCCAGGCCCAGCCCCGGCCTTGCCCTTCGGCTTGGCCTTGGGGCGCGGGGGCCTTGCCTCGTCCCTCTGCTCGGTGCGGTACTTCTTGTCCTCGTGGTCGGCCTCCTCCCTGTACATCCTCTCCTGCTTGAGCACGGTGCTCCTCGCCTTCTGCTGGTCGGCGACCCAGGCATCGAACTTGGTGGTGACCGCCCCGCCCGAGTCGTCGAGTCGACTCGAGACCATCAGCTCCAGGCCCTCGAAGGAGGGGTGGCGAGGGCACGCTTGACCGCCCTCTGGATCTGGAGGCCCCGGCGGCTCAGGAGCTCGAACGAGGCGAGGTTCGAGACGTCCAGCGCGTCGAAGACCAGGGCATGGTGCAGGACCTCGACGATGTTCTTCAGCTCCTGGGCCACAGCACTGCCACGCGCGACGCCCGACTGGGCCACCCAGAAGCCCCAGTAGGACGAGAGCGAGTGCCCAGAAGAGACCACGGCCGCCAGAAACTCGACCAGGGCCTTGGGGCCCTCGAAGGGCCAGTCGTCGACCTCCACGCTCTTCAGCAGGGCCACCAGCTGCGCCAGAGAGACGGTGTGCGCTGAGACGCCCGTCTGCGGCAGCACACGGCGGTCCCTGCCAGGACCAGCCCTCTTCTCCGCCTTCCAGTCGGGCTCGTCGGCGGGCTGGACGTTCTCGGCGGCGACCCAGCCCTCGGCCTCCGACAACATCACCAGCGCGACGGCGTCGCGGCTGATGAAGCGCTCCGCCGAGGTGATCAGCTCCAGGCTCACCTCCTCCCCGAAGTGGTCGCTCGCAGGGTCGGAGACGATCCACCTCGGGACGTCGACCCCCGCTTGCACCGCGGGGAGAGGGAAGCCCAGCACCTTCGCGAAGTTGCGGCCATCGCGACGGAGGTTGGAGAGGTCGGCGTCGGAGAGGGCTCCGAACGCGTAGACCTGGCCTCGAACACGCTGGGGGAAGGCGGCCGCCCGAGGAAGGGCGACCACCAGGTACTCGTCCAGCTTCAGGAGGTAGATCTCGGCGTCGGGCGTGGCGGCGACCCAGTGCCCCGGCGTAGGCGAGGGAACCAATAAGACCCTGTGGTGCCATCGGAAATTCGGGTCGTCGTCGAACGCGATGCACACCTGGCTCTCGGAGATGTCGAGGGTCTCGGCCCCCGCGCGAGCCATCAGCCTCGGATGGCCCTAGGCCAGGAGGCAGGAGCGGCAGCGCCGTCGCCTGGCGGACGAGCCGGCGCCCGCGAGGTGAACCCGTGCAGGATGGCCGCGACGGGGGCGCAGGCAGCCAGCGCCGCCACGGCGCACAGCACGCCCAGGACCCAGCCCAGCACCAGCCACGAGACCCAGTCCAGCGACGGCGGGACAGGGATCGGGCAGGACAGCTCGGGGCAGGGCCGCACGTCCGGCGCGGCCGGGCAAGCCACGGCGGGCGCCGGCGGGCAATTGCCGCAGGTGACGTTGACCGACCCGCAGGGAGGGCAGGCCGGGCAGGCGGGGCAACGACTGGCCCAGACTGAAACCAGTGCCGCGCTCCACTGCCCGAGAGCCGCGAGGGGAACGGGCATGCGAAGCGGCGCAGGCCTTTGCAAGCCTTGAAACCAGAATGGCCGCGAGAGGGGAGAGCAGCAGCAGGGGCGACAAGCAAGGGAGAAAGAAGGAAGGGGTGGAGCCCCTCTCGCTTGGCCGCTCGACGCGGAGGAAAACTGCATCCACAGATAATCAGGAACTGCTGGAAACCTTGGAACTCCTGGAACATATCATCATGACCTCCTATGATAAGCGGCACTTTGGCGAGATCGTGGACCGTCTCCAGTTTGCTGCCGTGTAACAGCAAAGGCGGAACGACGACAAAATGCGAGAGGACGGGAACGTAACGAATACGGACAGACACTCTTTAGGTCAAGCCTTCGGTCGGGCACGTCCCCCTACAGGCGGATCAAGCGAAAAACACACAACGAATACCCAACAAAAACTCCAAACATCGTCCCCATACTATCTGTGGACTATGTTTGGAGACTCCTCCTGTAGAGGGACCTGCCCGACTTGAGTCAAGCCCTGGGCCTGAGGCCGTGGCCAAGCCGGCACACCCTAGGGGATGGGGTCCGAGCAGAAGGGGGTCGAAGGATCGCGCCGCATCGCCGATGCATCGCCGCTGCATCGGCGATGCATCGGCGACGTCGGTAGTGCATCGGCGGCGTCGGCGTGGGGAAGCACGGGCTCCACATCGAGCCGCATCGTCGATGCATCCGCGACGCGGTGGGAGGCGCTTGGGAATGGGCACCAACACCAGCACAGGGGGGTGCCACCACCTGGGGAAGATGGCCCTAGATTTTGGTGCTGGTGGTATCCCCCCGGCCGGCCACCCCAGAAGCCCGAGTCTTACCACCGTCGCTGAAATAGGGATCCTCCTCCTGCGGTGGAAGCACACCGCCGACATTGGTGCTGGTGTCAACCTCAAGGCCTCCGACGCGGCGCGATCCTGCGACCCCATCTGTGCTCGGACCCCCTCTGGGAGGCCTCCACCCCCGGGCCCTGGAGGGCGCCTTTCCCAGAGCCTCGCCGTGCGGAAGGTCCCCCCCCCATGCCCTGGAGGCTCGAGGGTCGAGGCTCGAGGCTCGGAGCTGGAGGATCGGGGGTCGGGGGTGCGAGGCCCGCGGCTCGACGATCGGTGCTCGAGGACTGCAGGAGGCTCAGAGCCCCCTGCCCCCCAGCCCCTGGGCCCCTGCCGGGCCCTTCCTCGCCCTTGCTTCCGACGCGGCTCCAGCCGCGGCGCGATGGGAGGCGCCACGGCGAGCTGAAGGAGCCCGCCGCGCCAAGGCACGCGGACCACCCGTCGAGGACGAGCCCAGCCGACCGAGCCCCTCCTGGCGCCTTCCCCAGGGGTCGGGTTTCCCCTTGGTTCGGGCGTTCACTAATGGGGGGGCGATAGGTGAGGGGGCAGGAAAGGTGCACCTGTCGTGCACCGTTCGTACCCCTTCGGGGCCCTATAAGGGGCTCGTTCAGGGCCCCTTATAGGACCCCTTTCGTGCAACCCTCGCCGCCCCCCCCGCTGATCGCCCCCCATTATCGAACGCCCGACTGGTTCCGTTTCTGATGGCCCTGGGGCCCGAGAAAGAGCCCCACTCGAAATCGACGAAGTAGGTCGGCATGTCCCCCTTACGAGCGGATTTTGGGCGACACGTTCCAAATGCGTTCTAAAAAAATACACCAACATAGCACAACATGATAAAAAAACATCGTCCCCAGACTAGTGTCTTGATTATCTGTGCACATTCCTCCTGTAGAGGGACACGCCCGACTGAAGCCTCGAGGGGGGTGGGTCTTTCGCGCGGCTCCCCGCGGCGGCGCCCTCGATGGCCGCGTACACCACGAGGTGCCGCAGCACGGGCACGTACCTGGCCCGCCGGCCGACCACCCTGGGGGGGGGGGGACGCGACGCGGACATCTCTGCGGGCAGGGTCGTCGACGTTCGTCTCGTCGTCGCGCGCGCGCGCGCCTCTCCTCTCTCCCGCTCGTTCTCTCTGTCCTGGCCGCCCTCCCCGCCTCTTGATTCCCCCTTGTCTGTCGCTTTCTGCCCCAACAGACGCCGCGCGCATCCGGGGCCAGCCCTGCAGCGCGTGAAACATCTGCGCATGGACCGACCTTGGTTTCTCCCATTACCATTCGCTTTGCATCCCTCACCAGGAGCATCACCATCACCATCACCGAAGTCATCAACACCCTCCTCCTCCTCCTCCTCGTCTTCCTCCTCCTCATCATCATCCCCCCTCCTCCTCACACCCCCTCATGACCCTGCTCATCCCTCTCTCGTCGACGACGACGACGCCGACGCCGACGCCGACGCCGACGCCGACGACGACGCCGACGCCAACGCCAATGACGACGACGAGTTGAAAGAGCTCGTCGCGCCCTTGCATGCGGACCACCCGTTGAGGCCGAGCCCCAACCGACCGACCCCCCCTCTCCCGTCCTGCCCCCCCCGCGGGTGCTCCGCAGAGGGGCGCCAGAGTGATGGGGAGCCAGCCCACGGGGACACAGGCTGAACCCGACCAGCCATCACTGGAGGAGCTGTGGTCCTTTCCCCCCAGGAGGAACCCATCGCGACGACGATCTCTCGCGAGGGGTGTCGAAATCGATGGGTACCCCAGGGGGGTAAGGACCACAGCTCCCCCAGTTGTGGCTGGCCTGTGAACGCACACAGAAGGAGGGAACACGAAAGCACAACGAGCACGGACGACACGGTCTAAGTCGAGCCCTGGGTCTTGACACCGTGGCCAAGGCGGCACACCGCCTCCTGTCCCCCGGTCCGACGCGGTTCCAGCCGTGGCGACGGGAGCGCTATGCGGCGACTTGAAAGAGCTCCCCGCGCCAACGCGCACGGACCACCCATGAAGGCCGAACGCCGACCGACCGACTCCCCCCTTCCTCCCTCTCGGGTTCGCCGAAGAGGTCACATAATGTGTGCAAGGGCATCGCAGCGCTCGCTGCGGAGAGGGCCAGGAAAACCCCAGCATATGGCCTCGCGCTGCGCGACCCACACTGCACCCTGAGATCCAGCGTCGCAGCAACAATTGCAGCACCGTGCCCAAAATCGTGACCTAGGCAAGAGTGACCGTTGGTGCGCAGCGTGCGGGAGCCGCAGCGAGGCCCCATCCGAGTACCCCAGCCAGCATGGGGGGGACCCCCGTGGGCCCGCATCAAGGATCACCCTGGCGAACACTCACCCAGCGCGCGTACAGTGGAGGCCGATCCACACGAGGCCTGCCACAAGAAACCCAACCCTGGGACCCCAGGGCCCTCATATCGGTTTTCGGTGTGGGAGCGCCACGCTCTCCACTGCACAACCATCGAAACCCAGGAAAAACTCAGGGCGCCCTGGAGGCAAGCAGGGTGCTTCTCGGCATGGCTCCCCGGAGGAGGAGGAGGGGGAACAGGAGGAGGAGGAGGAGGAGGAGGAGGGGGGAGGAGGAGGACGAAGAGAGGAGGAAGGAGGAGGAGCGAGGAGTGAGGAGGACAAAAAAGGAGGAGGAGGAGGAGGAGGAGGTGGCAGGAGGAGGAGAGAAGAGGGAAGGAAGGAGGAGGAGGGAGAAGGAGGAGGGGAGGAGGGGAAGGGGCCGGAGGAGGAGGATAGACGGAGGGAGGAGGAGGAGGAGGGATAGGGGGGAGGAGAGGAGGAGGGAGGAGGAGGAGGAAAGGAGGAGAGGAGGGGGGAGAAAGGAAGGAGAATGGAGGAAAAGACCAGGAGGAGAGAAAGGAGGAGGAGGGAGGGAGAGGAAGAGCGTATGAAGGTCACGACCATATGGGCGAGGAGGAAAGGAGAGGAGTAGGGAGGAAGAAGGAGGAGAGGGGGCGAAGCTAAGGGAGTAGAGGAGGAAAAGGAGCAAGGGGAGGGAGGAGAGGACAAGAGAGGGAGGGTAGGAAGGAGATAGGAGAAGGGAAAGGGGGAGGGGACCGCTGCTGTAGCCTATCAGGAGACGTCGCAACGTGCTGCAGCGCGGCCCAGGGCACACGGCGGAGATGGCGGGGCGGCTGTCGTGCTGGTAGGCCACCCGGATGGGGCGGAGGTGGTCCGCGCCGCCACCTGGGCCGAGGAGGAGGAGCCCTTTGAGGCCCGAGGAGGAAACGAGGAGGGCGGGAAGAGGGGGAGGAGGAGGAGGGAGAGAGAGGAGGAGGAGGGGGAGGAGGAGGGGGAGTGAGGATGGGGGAGGGGCTGCCACGGGAGGGGGGGAGGAAAGGAAAAGGGGGGCGGCGGGTTCTTACTCTTCCCACGTGACGTCGTCCGCGAACCCCTGGGACACGAGGCTACATGGCCCGAGCGCTGCTCCCTCCCACCCCCTCCTCCCCCCACCCTCCCCCTTCTTTTTTTCCCCCCCCCCCCCGCCTGCCCCCCCCCCCCTCCTCCCCTCCTTCCTTCCCCCTCCTACCCCCCCCTCCCCCTTCCAACCTCCTCCTCCTCCTCTCCTCCTCCTCTCTCCTCCTCTCCGTCCTTCCTCCTCCTCGTTGTCCCCTCTCCCCTCCTCCTCCTCCCCTCCTCCTCCTCCTCCCTCCTCCTCCACCATCGTTGTCCCCCTCCTCATCTCCTCCTCATCATCCTCCTCCTCCTCCCCCTCCTCCTGGTCTTCCTTCTCCTCCTCCTCCTCCTCCTCCTCCTCCTTCTCCTCCTCCTCTTCCCCTTCCCCGTCATCCCCTCCCTCCTTTCCGTCCTCTCCATCGTCTCCGTTCCGTTCTTCTCCTCCCCTCATACTCTCCGTCCACCATCCAGGATAAGGAGGAGGAGGAGGAGGAGGAGGAGGAGGAGGAGCAGAAGGAGGGACGCCCTGCGCGTGGCCGACGGGGCCCCGGCCCTCGGAAGGGCCTCGTCCTCCAGGCGCGACGCGGCCGCGGCAGCTCGCGGGGAGGGGCGCAGGAAGCTCAACGAGGCCCGGGCTCGGCGGGGGTCCAAGAGGAGGAGGAGAAGGAGGAGGAGGAGGAGGAGGAGGAGGAGGGACGCCCTGCGCGATGGCTTTTCCCCGGCTGCGGAACACGTCGGGGGAGGCTGGGGCGAGTGGGCAGCGAGGGAGGGAGAGCGGCGGAGGGTCAGGAAGCAACTGCTGGGAGGTTTCCGCCGGAAAGATTGAGGAGGATGAAGCCCCATTTGGGAGCTATTACGCCGGAGTGGGCCTCCGATTAAGCCGGATTGAGCGGGATTTAGCGGGATTAAGACGGATTAACCGGGATTAAGCCGGATTAAGCCGGACTTCGGACCAGTGCAAAATCAGAGTTTGACCTCCACGGAACCCAAGGAGGGAGGGAAACGGAGGAGGCAGAGGGAGGGTGAACGACCTAGCAGAAGCACACACACACACACGCACAGAAAGCGCCGGGGAGAAGGAAGACGGGGGTGATGGGGAACGACATCTGGACGACATCTGGATCGACCCCTCTCTCCCCATCGCCATCGCTCGGACGTCCATTCCCCGTGCCTTTTGCGATCTCGCGCGCCTATTTCTGCGCAAGAGGATCACCTATGCTCCTCGATGGCCCTCGCCAAGGAAAATTCACACGTCCGAGCGATGCCAAACGTCCCTGCTCCTCCCTCCGCCCGCCTCCCTCCCTCTCGCCCATCACCCGGCCCTGGCCCGGCAAAGACGCGTGTTCATTTGCCCGCCCCCTGGCGACCGCCGTTGCCGTCCGCGCGGCGGAAGCCGTGGGCCAGAAACACGCAGTGCACGATGTTCGGCGACTCCGAAGGGTGTGGTGTGCAAAGGGTGTGGTCTGCAGCTGGCTCCCCTGGGGGCACCCCTGGGGGGTGGGCGGGGACCTCGACAGAGCTCTGCACCGCGCCCCGAGGAGGCCCGACGCGGACAGCGTCGTGCCCCCCATGCCCCAAGGGCCCAGACTGCAAACCACACCCTGGCGTTACCGCACGCTTTGTAGTCGCCGAGATGTGAAGCAGAGCGTCCATCTCCGTCACCACAGGTCCTCGTTAGAGGGCAAAACATCAAACCCCATCATGACCACCCCGACAAGCGAGGCCGACTAGTAAACGCACCCAAAAAAGGAATCGAACAGGGCAGGGCTGTTTAGTAAACGCCCCAGGGCCGTTTAGCAAACGCCAATTATCGGGTCTGGGTGGTTGCTCCTGCCTGGACTCATGGAACGTCGAAACAGCGCGACGCTGGAAAGAGACAGTGCCGAGCAAAGCCGAGGCCTGACCAGGCCATGTTCAAGCCCTCGCGGTCCGTTTGGACTCCGGAACGCGCCCGCGTGCGCACGCGATCGCATGGATACCTTCCGCGCGGGGCATCTGTGGGACTCAAGAACGTATGCCCAGGGTCGCGGCACAGGGGCCCAGCCCGAGGGGCCGCGGGTGCCGAGATGTCTCGCACCCGCGAGAGGGGAGGGCCCGAGAAGACATCGAGCCCCGACACGACGAAGAGGAGGGAAGAAATGGAGGAGGAGGAGCAGGAAGAATGGAGGAGGAGGAGGACGAGGAGGACGAGGAGGAGGACGAGGAGGCGGAGAGGAGGCATGGAGGAGGGGGAAGAGGCGGAGAGAGGAGGATGAATATCGAGAGAGGGCGAGGAGACAGTAGGATCGGGAACAGGAGAGAGGCGGATGGGAGCGTGAGAGAGGGGGGCGAGCTCACCCGCGTTTTCCAATCCGCGGCATCAATCGTCCGAACCCCTCGCCTGGGGGGTACTTCTTCGCCCCGGCGTCCTTCTTGGTTGTCTCGGAGCCGGATCATGGGGCCGAGAGGCACAAACCGATCACAAAATACCAGAACCCTACAGATCATAGCTTCGGAGATCTGGCCTGGAGAGAGAGACCAGACCTCCGACGTCGTGTTTCGTTCGAGGTGTGGACCTCCAGAGGTCTGGACCCCTTCCTGGAGACTTGCTTTTCACCCCGAGTGCTCTTCAGACAGTCGCGATGCCAAGTAAGGGCCCATGGAAGAAAGAAATATTGAAAAACCTTCCGTCGCGAATCGTCCATGACCCGAGAGGGGCTCGGCCTGGGGTCGAGACTCCACCGCAGGGCCTCTCTAGCAGCGCGTTCTGACCAGAATCTCGATGGGAATCCAGCCGTGGCCACGGGGAGGTGCTGAACACGCTCCAAAACCCTCGTGCCTCGACACGCCGCAATATCAGCACACCGTCCGCCTGGGGACCCAGACATGCGATATCCTGATTCTGTCAATACGGGATCTCCCAAATCCACACCCCTTCCCCGGGACCGGCTTCTCATCCTGAGTCGTTGCTTGACAGGTCCTGGGGTCTGGCGGTAAGGGCCCCCAGGAGCCCGAAACAGCCAGAAACCTGCCGTCATGGTCTTTTCTCACGAACCGAGCACGCCTTGATGCGCCGATTTCCCACCACCACCACTACCAGATGTAACAGAGGAAGGACGAGGCGGAGGACGCGGAGGAGAATGAGGAGGAGGAAGAGGAGGAGGACCTCCCCATCCTCCCTCCGCCCTCGTCCTGCCTATGGCAGTGGTGGAAAATTTGCCCATCATGCCTGGGGATTTGTGGGCCCCCGGAAACGGCAGGGCCGTATTTTCACCGTTTCCCAAAAATGTCCCTTGAAAATGGAAACGGCAAAAAAACAGCGACCGGAAACGGCAAAAAACGGCTCCAGGATTGGAACCGGAGCCGGAACCGGTGAAACAACGGCGACGGAACCGGTAAAAAAACGGCGTCGGAACCGGCGAAAAAACGGCAAAACGGAACCGGTAAAAAAACGGCCTTGTCGTTTCCAGGGCCCACTAAGGCCTGGGGATCTCAACCACCAACGCCAGGAGGACTGGCCCGAGGACGCCCAGAAATCCTGCCGGCAGCGCCGTCGCACCCGCGGCGGCCGGACGCGCGGCGGCCGCGGAGCTGGAGGCCGCGGCGTGCACGTCCTCCCGCGGTGGCGGAGGGGGGGGAGGAGGAGAAGGAGGAGGAGGAGGAGGAGGATGAGGAGGAGGTGGAGGAGGAGGAGAAGGAGGAGGAGGAGGAGGGGGGGGAGGAGAAGGAGGGGAGGAGGAGGAGGGGAGGAGGAGGAGGAGGAGGAGGAGCAGCAGGAGGAGGAGGAAGGAGGAGGAGGGGAGGAGGAGGAGGAGGAGGAGAGGAGGAGGAGGAGGAGGAGGAAGAGGAGAAGAAGGATGAGGAGGACGAGGAGGAGGACGAGAAGGAGGAGGAGGAGGAGGCGGAGGACGAGAAAGACGACGAGGGAGCAAAAGATGAGGACGACGAGGAGGACCGAGGGCCCCCAGACATGCGACGTCCTAGCTTTTCGCAATGCGCGGTCACTGGAAGTCCCGACGTGCTCCCCGGGACAGGTTTCTCATCCCTAATCAGTTCTTGCAGTCCCAAGGCCCGGCGACGGCCCCCCAAATCCGAAAACGTCAAAACCTTCCATCCGGACTCTTTGCATCGCTCTGAGGTCTATTTATCGCGCATCGTCTGGTTTTGTGCGTGCATTTCTTCGGAAGAGGACCTCACATGCTCCTGGATGGTCTTTGTCATGAAAAAGTACACACGTCCGGGCGACGCAAAAATGTGTCCACCAAGCAGGCACGTCAATATCGACATGTAGGCACTACAGTGGGGGCGTTGACCTAAGGAACCCTAAAAAAGGAACGAGGCCCCTTTCTCCCATAAGTTGAACTTCGATTCCCCATGGGAAACCTCGGGAAAACCGAAGGCAGACTGCAGAACAATCAAGGAACACCCAGCCCCTCCCCAACGAAAAGGGTTCCTTCTCCAGAGCCCCGACTGTACTCCGTGGCACGACCTGTCAAATGAAGGTTCGGCCTGTCGTTCCCTCCGCCGCCACTCCAGTCGCCCGGCCGCCAGATCTGGGAAGAGGATGGTGGCATGGTGTGTCTGGCTCAAGATACTTCGACCTCGCAGCGAAAGGTGTTGGTCTGCGTTGGTGAGGGGTCTGACCTGAGCTGTCGTGTGGGCTGGAGGCCGCGGCGTGCACGTCCTCCCGCGGTGGCGGAGGGGGGAGGAGGAGGAGGAAGAGGAGGAGGAGGAGGAGGAGGAGGAGGAGGAGGAGGAGGAGGAGGAGGAGGAGGAGGAGGAGCAGGGCCCCGACTGTAGCTTCCGTCGCCTCGCCTCGCACCTCCGAGCGAGCACGCGAGTCCGAAGCGCGCTCGCCTGCTCGTGGACCAGAGCCCGCCGTTGCGGTCCGTGGTGGACTGCGGGTCTGCCCGCGAGCACTTCTGGGCCCACGGGGGCCCCAGGACACACACAAAAGAAATACACACAAATAAAAGAACCCCCCACATTTTCCCATATGTTCTGGTCTTCTGCCTCCCCCCCACACTTCCCATATTTTCGCATATTTTCTTGGGAATCGACGATGAATTGTGTGTGTTTTTTCCCTCCTGATTCTGGGCCCACGAGGGCAAGGGAGAGGGACGCGGGAGCCCCCCCCGCGACGCGACGCCCCGGCCGCGCGGGCCGGCGCCCACGACCGCCGCGCGGGGCGATCGCCGGAGGAGGGCCCACGTGAGATTGCCGCCGCCGCCCAGGGCCGCCGCACTCCTGGAGACGCGTCTGGGGCGGCACGTCTGGGCTGCACAAGTGAAGGGGCCCTGGGACACGCAAATAAATACACACAGATGACAAGATCCCCCATATCTGTCCCAATATTTTCTTCTGGGTTTTGGTCGACCCCCCCCCCACTTCCCATATGTTCCCATCTTCTCGGGGAATCGACGATTCCTTGCGTCTGTGTGTTCTTTCCCCTCCTGAACAGAATCGCCTGTCGCCCAGCATCGTCAACCCTGGGGCTCAACGTTTTGTGTTTCGCCGGGCGTCCTCGCCCGATACCGGGGGAGGAGCAGGAGGAGGAGGAGGAGGAGGAGGAGGAGGAGCAGGAGGAGCAGGAGGAGGAGGAGGAGCAGGAGGAGGAGGAGGAGCAGGAGGAGAGAATCTTTCGCGCCTGGTGGCCCCAACAGAACGGGGACCGCGGACTCTGTCTCGACGTGGGCCGCACTTCACACCACCCCTTCCGAGGGACCGCCTCTCCACCTTGAGTCGCTGGGGCCCTCACACATCGATCCTGTGTCGAAAAAGATCGCGCAGAAAAGTAATGTGCGGGGCTGTCGCGATGTTGTACGATGTTGTGCATTTGCTCGCGTCGTCGGGTTTCAAGGGAAGAGCCACGCACCAATCACCTCTTTCAAAGCGGACTGCAGGATCTCCTCCGTCACCGCGCCAGCAGTGGGGGCCCAGTGGTCGAGACTATTCAGCCCACGCGTTCCCTGGCAGCGGCACCATGTCAGCAGGTAGCCCCTACAAGTCTTTGGAAATCCCGACCCCAACCGTGGAAACGAAATTCTCACTTCGACGCCTTTATTGAAGGACTGGGGCTTCACCAAGAGTGCACAACATGTATTCACCCGCGGCAGCCGCCACACAACAACGACGGTGACGACGAGATACAAGAAGAGATTGTGAGCAACGCCTTCGGCGAAACATTTTTCGATTTACGTTGCAATCCTCTCACAAATGTGCTCCAAAATCCCCCTGTCGCGCAGGGTAGCCCAGGGATCATGATTTCCTGTGAGACAACCCGCAGTAATTATCTAGCACGCCCAACAAAATAAGGAAACTGATCCCCGCCGCGACGACGACGACGCTTACGATTACGACTAAGATTGCGATCCCGAATGCGATCACGATCATAACCACGACGACGATTACAACCACAATCGCGACTTCAATCACGATTGCAATCGTGACTATAACCACGACTACAATCACGACTACAGCTACAGCCGCTGATCACTATTGCAATCCTCGTAAGAAAGCTGATTAACCCTTTTGCGTTTAAGACAACCCAAAATGGCTCATTCCGTGGGCAACGCCTCAACATTATCCAGCCCGCTCTACAATAGAACAACAAGAATCTCCGCCGCGACGACGACAACGGCGACGACTACAGTAAAGTAGTTTTCAGGGTGGTGGTAGTCGTAGTAGTAGTAGTAGTAGTAGTAGTAGTAGTCGTCGTCGTCGTCGTCGTCGTCGTCGTCGTCGTCGTCGTCGTCGTCGTCGTCGTCGTCGTCGTCGTCGTCGTCGTCGTCGTCGTCGTAGTAGTAGTAGTAGTAGTAGTAGTAGTAGTAGTAGTAGTAGTAGTCGTGGTAGTAGAAGTAGTAGCCGTGGTCGTAGTAGTAGTAGTAGGAGTAGTAGTAGTAGTAGTAGTAGTAGTAGTAGTAGTAGTAGGAGTAGTAGTAGTAGTAGCAGTAGTAGGAGTAGTAGGAGCAGTAGCAGTAGTAATAGTAGTAGCAATAGTGGTAGTAGTAGTAGTAGTAGTAGTAGTAGTAGTAGTAGTAGTAGTAGTGGTAGTAGTAGTAGTAGTAGTAGTAGTAGTAGTACGAGTAATTCGCCGGCCCAACGGGCCAGGGCGTGCTAAGATCTCCGGTAACTGGTTAACAGTATTAACAGTATTTCTAGTTCGCGCGCGCGGGGCGGCCCCTGGGGGTCCCCCGGCGAAAAGTACCCCGACCAACGCCCGGTCGCCGCCCGACCAAGTCTACTCAGAGATGGTTTTCCTTCTGGGTGCGGCCTCTCAGGCTCCCCAGAGCGCGCTCAGAGTGCCCCAAGAGGCCCCCAAGACTGCCCAAGAGGCCCCCGAGACGCCCAAAGAGCGCTCGAAGACGCCGAAGATGACCCCAAGACGGCCCAAAAGGCCCCCAAGACAGCCCAAGAGGCCTCCAAGACGCCCCAAGAGCCTTCCAAGAGGCCTCCGAAGAGAGCCCCAAGAGGCCAAAATCGTTGATTGTCATTGTTTTTTTATGTTTTTTGTGTTCTGGCTTTTTCGGCTTCCGGACGCTCCAAGACGGCCCAAGAGGCCCCCAAGACCGCTCCAAG